TCAAACATCATCATGTCCTCGTCAAAGAGTAGGGTTTTCAGATTGCGGTGTTCGAATGACGAAATAATTGAAGTAAATGAGGCTGCGGCGGTACTTTGTGAAACCATCAAGAACATGGTGGAGGAAGGCTGTGAGGGCGACGAGATTTCAGTACCAAACGTGACTGCCGAAATCCTAGGCAAGGTGATGGAGTGGTGCAAAAAGCATGCAAAGGGTAAAGAGACTAAAGAGGAACTCGAAGAGTGGGACGCTGAGTTTCTTAATGTTGATCAAGCAGTTTTGTACCATATCTTGATTGCCGCGGACTATCTATACAACAAGGAATTGGTGGCTCAAGTGACTCAAAAGGTTGCAGATATGATCAAGGGAAAGAAAAGTGACGAGATTCGCGAAGTGTTTAAGCTCAAGAATGATATGCCACCAGAGCTCGTAAAAGAAATAATCGATGGCAACCCTTCGGTAGATTTCATGTAATGATTTTATGTTCAGGCCGGAAAGAAAAAAAAGTTTTGTTTGTTTAGGGTCTCTTTTATGTATTTTTTTTTCCTTCTTCTTTCTCGTTCTTTGTTTAGGGTCTCTTTTTTGGTTTCTAGAGATTATTGTTATGGGAATTAATTATATTCTAGTTATGAAATAAAAATCAATAAATTGCCTGAACGATTTATTTGATACCTTTTTGCTTTAGTTTAGAATTTGGAAATTTATTTTTTTATATTTATTTTCTTGGGTCTGGAAATTGAAAATAGGAAAGCTTTAACCTGGTTTGTGAAAGAAAAAAAAGATAAATTGGTACATGTCCATGGCGCTGAAATAGCACCCAATTACCATACCTATTATCTTTTTTCTTTCGGTTTAATGAAAGAAAATCATAATTTTGTTAGTGCCTATAATTTTGTTAATGCTAATTTATTATATACAAAATAATTATTTTTAGCCCTTCACCTTATGAGCTTTTTGCCCTATTTGTTCTCTCCATTGATAGCCACCGGTGACATAGGTTTCCATCGGAAATCCTAGAGGAGCAAAACAAGCTTTTCTTCCTCCCTCCTCCATCTCTCCTCATTGACAGCCATTATTTTTCCCCTCAAATTCTATATCTTTGTGCCACCAACATGGCTGCTCGTGCTGGTACACGGCGACGGCCCTAATTAACTTTAATTAGGCTGCTTAAATCGCATGTCGTCAATTTAGCGTGTTCAAATAGAATTACTGTTTTTTTTTTCGGGGTTGAAAAACGAAACAAATGTAAAGAGCCTAAAATACGATTTTAGCCTCTATACAATTATCACTCTTTTGTATGAAATTATGAGAAAATACAGCAAGATTGTGTTGTTGGGAAGTGATTCTGTATTAAATTTGTTAGTAGAAAAAGAAAAAGAGCATAAATTTTCATATATCTCCCATACCATCATTCTTCATAATTCCACTTTATAAATCAATCATCATCAGCCTACCACTGTCCTTTTCTCTATTCAAGTAGAGACAGCTGTAAATAATTTTTTTTTTTTCTGGGTGTGCTCAAAAGGAAATCTAGTGACCTAAAATAATTGCAAATTTACATGTCTTATGTGTATATACCAAAAGAGCATAAAGAACATGACCTCTTAACTTATCAACTAAGAATATACCCCAATTGTACCAAAACTTTAATACAAGAAAAATATTTAGCCAATCCACATTGTTATCAATTCATGAATATATACACTAAGAAGAAAGCATTTAAACTCAGAGAAAGCTACCTGATCAAAAATAAATAAATAAAGAAGATAAATGCTTGTGGCTGAAGAAAAAAATTACATACATATAATCTGGAAAACAGATGAAGCCGCTTTTAGGCTCTATGGCAGCTAAGAAATAATACACCCAAGTGGCCACTGGGCACATCTATCACAAGATAATGGAAACCCACTGCTCTTTTCTCCAGCAAGCCATCAAAGCAATGATAAAAATAACACTCCAAATTAATGATTCCTCTCCCTCCTTTTTCTTTTTTGGTTTGTTTTCAATTTTTTCACCTTCCCATCTACTCTTCCTCCTCATCATTGAGTTTAATAATAAATTAATCAAAATTCAATTTCAATAACCAATTTGGCCTAATCTAATAAAACTTTAATCAACAAACAATCCAATTTCAAGTTTCAACCACACCATTTGGAGAGAAGAACCAAGAAAATAATGAGGAAGACTATGGAAGAAAGCCCAATGGCCACACCAAGAACAACCTTACTTGGCCCATGATGACGATCCTTCTTCTGATCAGAGTCATCCCCATCACTGTCATCATAATCTGAATCACTGCTGTCTTCTGCTGATGAATCGCCTTTGGCCGGAGGAGGTGACATGGGCAATCCATGCTTGTCACAAGGAGAAATCCCAAGCTTCAATTTTGATGACAAAACAGAGTGGTTATAGCACAAATTGCTGTTCCTGCTAATCTTGAACACTGCCAATTTGCTTATAAATGACACATTGAAAGGCACAACTCCATGGAAGTCATTGTTTGCAAGATTCAAGTGCTTCAAGCTCTTCATATCAGAGAGGAACTTTGGAATTGTACCATTCAGCTGATTGGAGCTCAGATCAACATGAGCCAACCCTGGAATTGCAGACATTGACTCTGGTATGGCTCCAGACAACGAATTTGAAGCTAAAGACACGTTCTTTAGTGAAATCAGGTCCCCAAACGAAGTGGGTATTTCTCCGTTGAGGGAATTAGAGGAAAGGTTCAAGCTTTCAAGGTTTTCAAGGAGTGTGATTGAAGAGGGTATCTTCCCCTGTAGCTTATTACCCGAAAAATCGATGTGGGTAAGGTTCAAATTCAAGTGTCTTGGAAGACTACCAGTTAGATTGGCATGAGAGATGGTCACAGACCTGAGCTTCTTCATGTTGCCGAGAATGACAAAGGGTCCAGAGGCATTGACTTGGACATTGGAGACAGTGAGATCAGTGAGGTTTTGGAGGCGCGCGAGCCAGACGCCAGTTAGCCTGCGGAGGCTGTTAATGCAGGTGAAGGAGTGGAGAGAGGCAACGAGATCGGCCGGGAAGCGTATAGGGGCAATGGGGCAGTTGAAGAACTGGAGGGACTGGAGGGTGGAGAGGGACTTGAGAGCAGTGAAGGACAAAGCGACGTCGTCGGAGCAGTTGGCAAGGCGGAGGGAGAGGATGTGGCGGAAAGGCTTGGAGGAGTCGCAGAGAGTGGTGTTGGGGGGGAGGAGGGAGGGTTGGGTACAGGGGTCTTTGGAGGTTGGGATGTTGAGAGATTGGAGGGCTCTGAGTTGCTTTGGGTCTAAAGAGCTGGAAGATGGTGAAGATGGGGTTTTGGGGGTGGTGGAGTTTGGTGGGGTTGGGGAGGAGATAGGAGATGGGGTTTTGGGGGTGGTCGACTTTGGTGGGGGGGGGGAGGAGGT